AAAAGATTATGTAATTGATGAAAATACTACTAAATTTAATAACTTTTAAAGCAGCATTTAAAAGCATAAAAGTTAGAAGTGTGAAGATACGAGAGCAATCGGTTGAAGCATTGACTTGTGTGGTCATTATACAGGAACCATTCTATTTTTTTCTTTGCATAATTTACCAAGTCAAATTCGTGGATATGGTGGTAAGATAACGCCACTTCAGGCATAGATATTAGATATTAGAACATTTTGAAAATTACAGTAGAAGAACATTAAAGGCAACGCTTATATATATATATATGTATGTATGTATGTATTTTAAAAAAATTATATAAATAAAAGTTTAAAAATTTTTACAATCTGATTTATTATTTTATTTAATATTAAATGTAAATTAAATAAAAAAATTAGATTAAGTGTAAAAGATTTTAAACTTACACTAATAAAAAAAATTATTTATATATATATAATACTTATTAGTGATTTATATTTTTAACAAGATTGTTTGAGTGTTCAGCTTTTATTAAGTGTAAGTATGAAAATCATTACATTATATTTGTTAAATTATTGATGAAAACTGATTTTCACAATAAATATCTTGTAATATAAAATTTCAACACTTAGGTAATACACTAAGTGAAAAACAAAACAAGATATATATACGCAACAAATCATGTTTATTTTTTAAATCATTTTTACTCATAAAACTACTATTTAAATGTTTAAAAAAGCTTAATTAGATTTTCTGTCTCTAACAATTTCATATTTATTTATAATTCTGATTATCTATCTAAAAATTGTGAAAAATAATAAAAATAATAATAATAATAATAATAATAATGTTTTCTTTTATTTGCTTTTTCTCCAAACAAATAAAAGAAGAGGAATTTTTTTATTTATTATTATTATAAGAATGACACGTGAATTTGGAAAAAAGAGTTAACAATATGATTTTTATACCCACTTTTGAAAATAGTTATTCATCTCTAAATTTACACTTGATCAATAGGTACCGCTTTAATGTAAATTCTCAAACTTATTGAATACCCATCTATTCATTTTCGGATCCATTACCTTTAATTGGTATAAAATTAATTAGTTTTTGACATAAGATTTTTTAATATTTTAAAAATATTTATTATTATTTTTACACATTTTATCACTCATAAACTTGAATTTTTTGAATAATTAATATCACAACGGAGTTTTCTTTAACTATTTAGAGTAAGAAAAAATTTTCAAGTTATAAAATTATGTTAGAAGATTTATTTTTTGAGGAATTTTGAGAGTATAAAAAAAGAGCCTTTGCATGTTGAAAAATTGTGAGGAGTCACGAAAAGAGCCTCATTCATTAGGAGAGGGACCATATTTCAAGTAATTTTGAAGAAACATAAGCTAGCTTATTGTTGCTTGAGAAATAGAAGTGACAGGAAAATATGCTAAATTCACAAAACTCGAAACTTTTTCAAGGAGTTTTCAAGTCCCTTTCATCAAAAAGCTGCTCGAAAAGCAGGACTAGCATAAAATTACTTTAAACACACAAAACTGAAAACCTTTTCAAGGAGTTTTTGAGGATTTTTTAGTCCCTTAACTTAGAATAGCTAAAATTGGTCAAAAAATAAGACTAACAAGATGATTATTTTAAGCCCACAAGACTGAAGGTCTTTCGAAGAGTTTTTTAGGTTTTAAAGTTCCTGACACATAGAATTGCTTGAAAAACAGGAAGTGCTCAGAAAATATTCTAAGTCCACAAATCTAACTGAGCTTCAAATCTTCTTTAGAATTGCTTAAAAAATAGGAAGTTGTCAGAAAAAATTCTAAATATACAAACGTAGTTAAACTCTAAATTCCCTCCAGAATTACTCGAAAACTAGAAAATAGTCAAAAAATATTCTAAGTCTACAAGACCAAAAAGGGCTTTCAGATTCTTCAGAAATAGTCAAAAAATAAAAATTGATGGGACCATAGCACTAAATGAGCCTCTGAGATTTCTTTCAGAAACTGCTCGAAAAACAGAAAACAAAAGAAAAGATTCCAAATGCATAAGAGACATGAAAAGACTCAAGAGCTATTATAAAGCTTAGAAGCAGTTACTAGTAGTTATCGCTAGACGAAGGTTCAACAACTCGAAGCAGGATCGTGGGCGATAGCAGTTATGAAAGAAATCATAACCGATAGTACAATCAGAGCCAGTCACGGATAATGGATAATAGTTGAAGACAGTTACTAAGAAATACCCGCAAAAACAGGAGAACGGTGGTGATCCTCCTGCTTATAAATACTTAAAAGCTCCATTTTACAAAAGATGACTTTTTGTACCCACACACTGCACTTGAAATTCTCTGCATGCTAAAAATCTACACCGTGTTAGACACCAGCTATAAGGAGATATACGACTATCGTTGTTCATTGCTAAGAGTTGTACGTTTATTTTTATGCATATTTATATTTTTGCATTTTACTTTCCCAATTTATTTTACTTATTTTGTTCATGCAATCTAAGCTTTGCTTAGCATATTTTCTGTAAACTTCTATACTCAATTCAATTATGTGCTTTTATTATTCATTATTTTGCTTAGTACTCCATTAATTTGGACGTTGCATTTAAACAACGTACTTAAAAGAATTTAGAAGGACCTAAATCCAGTACTTAGATTACTCTTGTATTATTTGTTTATAAATTGTTAGTTTTTACCATAAAATAATAATAATTAGAGGGTCGTAGTTATTATTTTAATGAAATATTAACTAGATTTTAATATTTTTAATCTATATACTTTATTTAAAAATATTACCAATAGGATCAAAATAAGTATCAGAAACAAAGATGTTATACTATTGACTAGCGATATTTATCGACAAGTTAACTTTAATAACAACGTCCTAAACATCACTCTCCCTCAATCATAAAAATGAAGTGTCAAAGACACGATGATGGCACTGAGAGTTTGAGTTATCAATTTAAAAAATAAGAAGATTAAAGAAAATTGTGTATAAAAAATTTTAGTATAAAAATTTAAATATTTTTTTATAAATTATAATATTTTATATTTTTAATTTTAGAGAATTTAAATGAAATAATTTCTCAAAATTCATCAAAAAATATAAAATATAAGTTATTTTCTATTTATGACAGAAATTTAATTATTTTTTATATTATTTTTAAAAAATATATATTTAAAAAGTTACCTTTCATTGAAATAAGATTTATGAGTTATAATTGTAAATTTGTAGGGATATAGTTGTACTAATTTTTATTTTAAAAAAATAGATGTGTGAAAATCTGAAATGAGCTGGACAATAAAATACTCATACTTATTACACCTATTTCTATAAATTTTGTTAAAAAAAATCTATTACTTGAATTCAAACTTATTTAGTAAATAAATTTTCTCTCCATTATAAATATTATATTTTGAAATTTTCATGCCTAATTATCACACAAGAATGTCAATTTATTTTATGAGAAAACTTGAATATTTCTTCCTCTCCTTTCCATTTTATTCGGTCAAGAGGCGTGAAAAATGTGCAAACAATTTAATGGCGACATATTTTTTTCTCCAACCGCTTTATTTGTTAATGAAATGACCCAAAAACATCACTTCCCCACATTCTTGCATCGGTCAAATTGTTTTTTCGAATGATAATGTTTGTAATATATTTTAGCATACAAATCAAGTGGACTTGTTGATTTTTTAGTAAAAATTCATTAGATTAAAATATAAAATTAGTTCATATTTTAAAAATAATTAAAAACATTTAAAATAATGTATTCAGAATGCCTTGCACACACATTTTGCATGCTATATAAAGATCGATGCAGAAAAAGTTGACGTTTAAATAATACACTTATTTATTTAGGAGCATCAGTGCTGTGAATAATAAAGTTAAAATGGTTGAGAAATTTAACCGGTCAAATTGTCATTATAAATGCACGGGATAGTCCCTCCCAAATCGGAAGGGTAATCCCTGTCAAGAATGGACTTTTCCTTACACCCTAAATTTTCGATTTGGATGAGCAGTGAAGTAAGGATCAAAGAAATAAGAAAAAAATATTATTTAAGATAAAAAGAAAAAATATTTATTCAGGTCAGTAGATGAGTGAGTGAAGAAATAGTATAAAGACATGTCATGTTAATTAAAAAATAACAAATATATAATTTAATAATATTTATATCTAATGTTATAAAATAATAAAATTTTAACATGAAAATATTGTTTTATGAACGATATCTTTGTTCCAACTAAAAACACCTAAATAATGATAAAACTAAACAAAATAAAAAAAAAATAAAAACACTGTCTTCCCCCATTTATACCTTTTGGAGGAGATTTTTAAAAATTTTGAGACCTACCTTTTTATATGCCTTTTCTTAATTAATAAAAATATATTTTTATTATAATTACACCCATATAAACAGACAGTAAAAAAATATGTTTTTAAAAAATAATAAAACCTATTTTCTGATTTTATTTATTTTAAAGAATTAAAATAAAAAAACTGCAATGAAAAAAAAAATAACTGGACTCCTCGGTAGTTGATCCTCGTGGCAAGAGGGACCCACTGTCCCAGCGTTTTCCGCGGGAAATGAAATTCGCAGAATGGGCAAGGGTGAAATCGGTCATTTCGAATCCCTAAACTCCTATTTATAATTTCGAGCGAGAAAGGGAGAGAGAGTGCACAGGCATAGGAGAAACCAGAAAACAGCACCGTTCAATCCCTTCAAACAATGGCCGAGGAACATCCTCGTCCTACCCTTCTTGTTCTTGTTCTTGTTGTTGTTCTTCTTCTATAATCTCTGCATCCGCATTGTCCTTCCTCCTCCGTAACTAACCTTTTGCATTCCGCTTAAGTTCCTTTGTTGTGGGCCCGCCTCGAATATATGTCGGGAACATAACGTTTTTTTTTGTTTCATTTGCCAATGCCTTTTGCTTGCGGTGGAAGTTAGTTTTCCGTTGCGGTTGTTGTTTCCATATTGCACGCGCGCGTGCCATAACGCTCCCTGAATCTGATGGGTGAGGTGGGTAAGATACTTTACATAGTCGTCGTCGACGATGCTCAGAAGAAAGAGTCCTTTCGCTACACGCGCCCCGTTCTTCACACCACTCTCCAGCTTATGGGATGCAAACCGCGTCATGCCTTCAAGGTTCTCTTCTCTCTCTCCTTTTCTTTTTTCATTTTCAATTTCTCTTTTTCATTTTTATATTCGAGATTCAATTGTCTGCATTGGAGGGCCTTTGTTGTCTTGTTGACCGCAAGGAGTTTGACCTGCTTTTTTTTTTTTTTTGGTGCGTCCCTTCTTTTTGATTCAACTGCGTATGAAGACCGAAGAGAGTTTGCTATGCGTGTATACTTCAGCCTTTTCATTTTGTTAATCTTTTTATTTGATTACGTTTCAGTGAGAGATGATGCTTTAAACTGAACTTTTTTTTTTTCAATCTCTATTCATTTGAATGGAATAATGAAGTGTGGTGGGTTATCTTAAATCAGATATGAAGGGAAATTTATGTTGATTGAAAATTTTTTGTTCCTTGGAGAACATTAACCTGGTATGAAGCGTGGATATGATACGGGACATGAATATGACATGGATTTGAGATTTGGCCCTAAAAATTAAGATTACAACATTGGTTGGGATTAAAACCGAGAGTTAATATAAGATCAGAAATACTATTATTTATCTACTAGTTGTGGAACATAGTTTAAAAAAATTAAATCGTAGGATGGTGTCTGAGGAGTTTGACAGGAATACGTGTTGAATAACGATATGGTGGAGATAAATACTTGGGTAATTAGTTTATGGCATCTCTAAATGAAATTTTATTGAGTAATGTATTATATGACTTGGGGGCAGAGAATGTGCATAACTTTGGAATTTTCGTATAAAATTATTGTTAACGCGTTTTCAATGTTGCTCTTATCAGATCAGCCAAAGAGTGTTTGAAGTCACAAAGAGAGAGAGTTGTATTAATGGTTTGCAACCTGAAGTAGAGTCTTTAGACTCTTTAGAAGGTTCTGATGCTCGCAAGGGGAATTCTGTGAAGAACGATGTTAATTGTGGTGGGGTTTGCATGGACAAAGCAGAATTAGGCAACCAATTACTTTCAGGAAGAATTTATAGAACTAAGAGTGTACCGTTTGAGTTGTACAAAAAGCGAACAACTGTATTTGTTCGGAGAGAAACTTTTCTCGATATTGTCTGTGATGCTCTGGCAGAGTATAAGTATGTGGGTCCTAACCAAAGAGCAGATTTGATATTAGCCTGCAGGTACTACTACATTGTTTTATCTATTTGTTAGGGCTATATTTTACAGTAACTTTAATAGAGGGGAAAATTAATTCTGACTGTTTGTAGCATATGGTCTGTTGTAATGGAATCTATTGAGCTATATGATTAGATATGTTTTCTCATAGTTTTGATTTTCTTGATCAAGATTTTCTGGTAATTGTTAATGTGTTATTACTTGTTATGATGCATTTATATTAACTGGATTAATTAATTTGATTGAGCATTTTGTTTTGGGTGTTATATGAATGTTGAAACTGTCTATAGTACTACTAAAAACTCGTGATTTACTTTTTTTTTTTACTTTCATCCCGTGATGTGTCTTGTATTGTGTTAAGGTGTCTCTTACTCATTTTTGTGGCTTTGTTTCTCGTAGTCAATACGAGCAGGTGTTTTTTATGACAAGATAATTATTATAACTTTTTTGCTCGTCTTGGAAAAGTAACTTTTGTATATACCACCTGGTTCAATTTAGATGCTTGAATTTACGGCTATGTATTTATGATCAACCATTCCTTTAAATATCTGTCTGGTTCAAGCTTCATGTGTTTTCTAGCAATGAATTTGTGAGTTATACCTTAAAATAGAAATCATCATCATTGTTTAAGGCTTTTTGAAATCCAAAATATGCTATTGTGTTTTTTTTTATCTTGCCTCCAAAATATGCCCTGCTTCTCTAAATTGCTGCTTCACTCTCAGAATTTGCATCTATTTTGTCTATATTGCTGGTATTTGTCCCTTTATTGTAGTTTTGGAAGAAAATTTTCTATTCTGAATGCATGATCAAGCTTTACTATTAATTACAGCATACAGCATATTGCTATGTGATATCTGTAGTTCCCTAAAATTTCATTTAAATTTTACCCTTATCATGTGGAGTTTAATTTTTAAAATGTGGTACTACTTGCTTCTTACATTGTGATTATTTTCTTTGGTTGTAGGATCCGTGAACGGAAAGAGTCTGTGACTGTGTTATTGTGTGGCACTAGTGGCTGTGGCAAATCCACATTGTCTGCATTGCTGGTATCTTTACATATGGAAATAGTTGTTTGTTTTGCTAATACAACAGTTGTAGTTTTTACTTTTTACTTTTTTTGTGCTAGGACTTCTTTGCTAGTAATGAAGTTGAAATTGAGTAGTATCTATACCTAACAGTTCAAGACTATCATTTTTACCTTCACTTCAGGGTGGAAGGTTGGGAATCACGACAGTGGTATCAACTGATTCTATTAGGCACATGATGAGAAGTTTTGCTGATGAGAAGGAAAACCCCTTGTTGTGGGCTTCTACCTACCATGCAGGAGAGTGTTTGGACCCTGTTGCTGTTGCAGATGCAAAGGCCAGAAAGAAGGCAAAAAAGCTTGCTCGACGCTCACTTCCTAAGGATGAAATAACTGAGGGTCAAAGTTCTAGCAAATCTGATATACGGACATCAGAGATGAGCTCTGGTACTACTGAACTGCCAAGTCCAAAACAAATGGCTATTGAAGGATTCAAGGCGCAGAGTGAGATGGTGGTTGATAGTCTTGATAGGCTAATCACTGCATGGGAAGAACGAAAGGAGTCCGTTGTTGTCGAGGGCGTTCACTTGAGCCTCAACTTTGTTGTATGTCGGATTTTCATTACCATTCCTTCTCTAAATATTTTCTTTTTAATGTCAATTTATATTTTATGTTCACATTATCTAGCAACAAAAACTTGAATACTCATGCATGCAGATGGGTCTCATGAAGAAGCATCCTTCAATCATACCATTCATGATACACATTACAAACGAGGACAAGCATTTGGAAAGATTTGCTGTACGTGCAAAGTATATGACACTGGACCCAGCTAAAAACAAGTATGTAAAGTATATTAGAAACATCAGAACAATTCAAGATTACCTCTGCAAGCGAGCTGAAAAGCATCTAGTTCCCAAAATAAACAATACAAACGTTGACAAGAGTGTGGCAGTCATCCATGCAACTGTTTTCAGCTGTCTTCGAAGGCGCGAAGGTGGGGAACACCTATATGATCCTACTAGAAACACTGTTACACTAGTGTATGAGGAATTTAGAAATCAATGTGCAGCCAATTCTTTGAACTCAAAAGGAATGTTTCAACTGATTCAGAGAAAAGGTTCTTCAAGGAATCTGATGGCTCTTGTTAATACTGATGGGTCTGTGGCAAAGGCTTGGCCTGTTAATTTAGTTGACTGTAATGGGAAGCCTGTGTGGTGCCATGGACCAGAGAATGGAATTGGACATCCAATGTATGGTCCCTTGCGAATTGGCAAGGCAGAACCTGTAAATCTTCAGTTTGGTTTTTATGGAATCAGTGCTTGGCCCAGTGATGGTGGCACTAGTCATGCTGGAAGTGTTGATGAGTCTAGAGCTGACGGGACTGATACGGGTAGTAGATATCACTCCTCTTGCTGTAGCTCACCAAGGTTTTCGGATGGCCCTTCCAAGGAGGTAAATTTGAACCTTTTTGTAAACTTATATCTGTTCAACATGAAAATTAATGGCTTCTTAACCTCAATGAGGAAAATGTTGGATTATAAACACTCATTTGTAGATTTTTTTCCCCTATTTTTTTATTAGCTCAAAGAAGATTTCTCGGTGCATGGTAGTGATGAAGAGATTGACTACCAATTAGAGGTGGGCAGTGATGAGGATTTCAGTGATGATGTCGACAAACACATCCATGAAGAGGTAATCTTGCGTTTTGTTTTTTTTTTTAATAAATGACATGCATATGCATATTTGAAATGTCCTCTATATATTTCATATTGAAATGAGTTTTTGTTTCATATGATTTAAGATAAAAAAAATAATGGTAATTTTTCGTATAAAAGAATTGCAGGGAATAGAATTAACTATTTGTGGTAATTTTTAATCTTTTTAATTGCTTTCTAGGTGGGATCAGTTGATGAGGAATCGACAAAGTCCGATGAAGAGTACGAAGATCTTGCAATGCAAGATGTGCAGGAAGATTATGAGTTTAGGAGTAAGCTAGCTTTGGTGGGGGAGCTAGGAAATAAAATGCATGGGAATAACCATAATCAAAATCTTGATCTGTTCCTTAGAACTAAAAGTGAGCCTATGGCAGTTCCAGAGCCCTTGTGCTCTTATTCTTTGCTCGTTGGAAAGAGTGAGAGGAAAAACAAAATGAGAAAACGTTCACTTAGTATTCCCGCAATAGGAAAACATACTTCAGCAATCAATGATCCCATCCTTTCTGGTGCTCCTCAAAGGTAGCATAGCACAATCAAACGCACTTTTTTTTGTGCTTTTGATTAAACCGTGTCTTACGATGTCCCATGTGTATATAGTAGAGCGTTCAAGACTTTCATCATCTGGTAGTTGTTGCTAATTTAGATGAAAACGTGCAGACATACTTGATCAATTTGATGTCTTGTGACATTTTTTCGAGGATGTTTATAAGTATGGAATTCGTGGAATCAACCCCGTTTTTCTCAAATGAATGAAAATGCTGCAAAGTCTTTTATTATATTTTACTTAATCTTTAGAGGGATTCAATTCAACTATAACTTCTAAAAGGTGTTCGAGGCTGAGTTTTAAAAGATAAGGGTGATTTTTTTTAAGAATACATAAACAATAAATTCTTATTAAAAATTATATTTAATATTATTATTACATTTAATTTTATATATTTTAATAAAAGTATTATGTTTTAGTTATTGTCAGCTTTTTAACATAAATTAGATAAATTATATTTTAAATAATAAATTAATATATTTGTTCAATATTATATATCCCTAGTTTTTAGATCAAATATATAATTTTGAAAGTATCATTTTGTTTTTTTTTTCCTTAGTTTTTGAAATTTTCATTCAACTGTATTATTTATTTATATTTTGGGGTTTAAAAAAAAGGTAAAATGTAAATAAATTAATATTTTGATAATTAAATTATAGATAGTAATATTAGGAGACTAATTTTTTTAATGAAAATGTGAGCAAGTTAACATATGTAAAGTTTGAATTGAATTAAATGAAACTTTTGGGGATTAAAAATAAATACCATTAATTTGTATATTTGCTCTAGTTTTAAAGTTAAAAAATTGTCTTTTTCTATCTTAAGATTTCACTCTTTAACCATACCCATAGAGAGGGACTCATGATCATCACCTCGTGGATGCTATAATTCTATTAAGTAACTTTTCTTTATCCCGCTTGCTCGCATAGCAAAGTCTGTGACAAATTAAGGTCCGAGCAAAATCAACTATTTTTCATAAGTTAAAATTAATTTATCTTTTCAAATTTTAAATAAGATAAATAAGAATAAATTTTAAAAAATTAAGAATTATAAATCAATTTTAATTTATAAAAAATATTTATTTATTATATTATTTTTATTCTATTATAAGGGTTTATCTATAAATTAATCTAAACTGGGCCTAAATTTCCGACCAATATCAATTTCTTTACCTTTACAACATCTCAGCAACCTCTTGAACCGTGTAAACAGGTCCCATATCTTCTTTCTTAAAAGGGCAATTCTCTATGGAGTTTCCAAGCTCAGGCTCTGGGCCAGGGCCAAAATTGTTGAAAGATTAGAAGTTGGGGCAGATATATCATAATACCCACAAAAAAGAATAAACAAATTTGAAACAACAGTTCAGGATTCATCATCATTCAATACTCATCGAAAGCATGCGTTTCTGGGAAAAATGAAAAGAAAAGAAGAGAAAATCTTAAAACCAACTTCAAAGGGAGTTGTTCGTTCAACTTTGTGAAGTGTCATTTAAGCCCTGTATCATTCCAAAATGTAATTAACACTTTCTATGAACCCAGTAAATGCATCTTCTCCTCAGTTGTGGATTATATTTGTAACGAAAACACAGATCTATATCTACAAGAGGGACGTTAACAATATCATGTAAGATGTTTTGGTTTGGTATCTTTTAAAGCTTGAGTGTGCTGTTGTCCTTTTGCTATATATCAAGTTTGGCATAAGAAACCAACAATCCTTAAATTTATATAATTTTAAACATGTTTTTAATAACAATTCCAACTTAAAAAAGAAGTGTGAAAATTTTATGTCCTTTTAAACCACGTCATTTCTTTCGCTTTTGTTGGAAAGTCTTGGATATGAAAGTTTCTGTCCCTAAAATAATAACTTTTATTTAAAAAAAGAAACTTATTTATTTAATTTAAAGTTATGAATAAAGAAGATTAAGTTTTTAAAATTTTATATGATTTAAATATTAATTTACTCTTCATCACTTTATTATATTTAAAAATAATAATACATTGTATAACACACTTTTAATTATTAGTTAAAATTTATTAAAAAATATTAAGTTATTAATTTTTTATTAATTTAATATTTTTTTCTTGTGCTTTAGTTGTTTAAATATTTTTTTAAAATATGGCAGGGAGTATATTTCTAACATTTCTTATAGTTTAATAAATAGTATATTATTTAAAATATAAATAAATAGTTATTATTAGATTATATATTTATAAATATTTAAATTATATAAAATTTTATTATTATAATAATAATATAAAAAAATTAGTTGAATGAACAAAAATCATTTTTATAAAAAAATTATTAAAAGTATTACTTTTATTGAATTTAAATTTCCAATCATCAGTTCAACAAACTTGTTAATAATATTAATATATCATAAGCTACAATTGAGGGGAAAAAAAATAAAAATATAAAAGAAAGATAAATATAAATTGTTTAACTCTTGTTTAACTTAGAAAGAATTTGGAAGGTGGCCAATGATAAATTACTAACAAATGCAGAAAAAATCAGGGGAATTTTTAATTCAAATATTTATAGTATTTGTAGTAATGATCCTGCAACTATGATACATGTTCTTAGAAAGTGCTATAATGCTTCTTAAATGTGGAATATGTTAATTTTGAATACTAATTAGGTGTCTTTTTTTAGTCTTGATTTCTCTAGATGGTTGTTGGAGTTAGGGATGGCAATGGGTAAAGTACCTGATGGGCACCGGCAAAATTTACCCACAATGGGTAGGGTATTTACCCACTATACGGGTACGGGTATGGGTATGAGTAAAAACTCGCAAATTTTAATGGGAATGGGTGCGAGTATGAATATCTAAGTACCCACCCCGCCCCATACCCGCATATATATATATATATATGCTTGAACTTTATTCTACAATTATGAATTGATTTTTTGTATTATTATATTATTTATGTGAAGTTATATAAGATTAATATAAAAATATATTTAATAATAAAGTAAACCAAAAAATTTATTTTGGTTTATATTTTTAATAGAAAAATTTATTTATTATTTTATATCATTTAATTCGGCTAACACAATTTAATTATTACATAGTTAATATGAGATTGACTTTTTTTAAAATATTATTTATATATGACACACATAAAATATTTTTTACACAAATATTTTTGTTAATAAAATCATATTGATGTTTTAATTATAAAGTGAATGATAAATAATAAATATATTATAAATATTTTATAAATTTTACAATCACCTACTATTACCGTAAACTTATTATTTATTAATAATATTTAAATTTTATTTTTATATTTTAATTTAAAATAATATTTTTCTATGAAACATATGTATTACAAGCACAACTATAATTTATTGAATCTAAATAATATTATTCTTACTATTTATTCACATTCAAAGAAGTTTTTGAAAAGATATAAATATAAAAAATTATTGTTAATTTTTATTTGTTAATTTTTTTAAGATAAAAAAGTATAATTTTTTTAATATACACGTATATTTCTTTATTATAAAATTTTATTGTAACTATTTATCTTTTATTCAAATTCTTTTTTTTTAAATTTATATACATTAGAAATATTTAATTCACTAAAATAATTTTTCAAAAATTTATATTTTTGATAAAATACTTTCGTATAGTATATGAGTTAAAAAATACTAGTATTAATATATATATATATATATATATTATATTATATTATTTTAATTAAATCTATTATTTTTCTTACAATTTGAAATTCAAAAGTTTAAAAAAATATTTTATGTATCAACTTTCTATTGTTAGTATTGAACTTCTCTACTCTAACTCTATTCTCATTCTCAATGTCTGTCTCACTAAAATTTAATAACTATGAAATGTTATTCATTAGAGTTAGTTGTTAATGCCGTCACAAGAGGTTACTAAGTGATCCCACACGAAGGGACAACCATTGTACAAATCTATTTCGTTATCGTTCTGACATTACTAATCAATCAAATCTCACACAAGATAGGATTATCACTGACAAATAACTTGTGTGTTTAGCTTTGCTTATTATTTCTAAGAATTTTAATTTAGAAAATTATTATATTAAGATACATTTAACATTTACTTATGTGAAATTATATAAACATATTTTTCTTTATAAATATTTTTTTCTCAAACAAGCGCGGGTAATGGGTACAAGACGGGTATGCGGGTACCCAGAGGGTACGGATACGGGGATTAATGTTCATACCCACGCGGGTATGGGGCTGGGTACGGGTATTTTTTTAAAACGCGAGTATGGGGATGGGTACTGTAGTACCCTACCCATTGCCATCCCTAGTTGGAGTTGATAACTGGAATATTCTATTTGGTGTTGCAATTTAACTTCTATGATTAAATAGAAATTATTAAATTTTTAATAGAAAAACAATAAATCTAAAGGCTTTTCTTTGCAAAATACATAGTTATGTGCAATACATAAATTTTGATTTTTTTTAATCCTTCTATAATTCACAGGATTTGTAAAAAAGAATTCTTAATAAGCTAGGCTTCACCCTTTTTTTGTAGATTTAAGTTTAATGTGGATAGATTTGTTCGTAATCCACTGCTTGTGGAGGGTTTATTAGAGATGATTAAGGTGATTTTCAAGCATGTTTTACTAAAAGATCTGGCAAATAATTTGTATGGTTTGCTGAACTTTGGGCCTTTCTTACGAGCCTTAGACTTGTTAAAAAGCTTAGTCTAGAAATGAACTCTAAATTGGTTGTCCATTTAGTTAATTCTCATATTCTTTTAGGACACAGGTTATATCTTATAGTTAAAAAGATTAGAAACTTGATTCAATCTTATAAAATAATTAATTACTGGTTTTTTAGCTAATTAAGCTTATCAATTGCACAATAATTATTTTTTATTATAACATCTCCCTCCCCAACTTAAATCTCTTCTTAGAGAAGATGTAATGAGAACTGTTTTCGTAAATTAGTTAGATAGGTGTGTTGTTATTTTCTATATTTTG